TTCATATTATGGAAAGCATATTCCAGAGAAGGGCATTTGAATCTTTCCGCGTGGTCGATGAATTTCTTCCGTTCTCTCTAGTTTCCTTTGCGATTGCTGTACGGGTATTTCTAAAGTTGTGAAAACCCATTGACTTTTTATGGAGTTTTTTGTTTTGTTTTTTTACGTTCGAAGTATAATCTGCGTCAGACCTTGGATTTTATTTCGTCATTTTTGCCGTGGTTCAAGGCGTGGGAATCTTTCAGTACTGCTTTAATGCGAGGTATAAAAAGTCGTCTCTTGATGAAGGATCTCGAAACGATATTCCGTCAAAATCCGAATGTCTCATGGCAGCTGTTCAATTTTTCCCACGAGATTCATAAGAACGTGCTGATCGGCTTGGACGATGAACTACATTTCTTGGCTGGCGACTGACTTACGCAATGCGCATCGAGGATTGTTGAATCGCTTGAGCGTGGGAAAAAATAAGACTGAAATGAACTGTAGAAGTTCGTTTTATTTTTGATTTTTCTCAAAATCATTTTGAACATAAAATCGCTCAGGATGAATAACTTCGAAAATAAGCGAAATCGAAATTTTTCTCTTTTTTTTTTTCCTTCGCTGGCGCTTATAATCCTTGAAGGAATCCAGAAGTCGAGTTTTCTCTTCAAATTACACACGATGTTCGCAGCAACAGATAAATCTTCAAATGTCTACCCTGGTGTCTAATTTTTAACCTTTCTAATGTCGCAAGAGGAGATTTATTTTGCGGAGTCTTGCACGGTCACGGAAAACATTTCAGGATAATGAGAAAGCCGAGTTTATTTTCCCTGCGGGGTTTCTCAATCCCGTGAAAGACGGTTTCAAGTAGCCCCGGGTGTCACCCAAAAACTGTTTTCAGTTTTTCAGTTGTCACCCAAAAACTGAGTGAAAGGGTGTATGATTTTCAGAAAAGGGCTTGTGGTTGATGAAATACGTGTTGAATTATTTTCTCAATTTCGATGCACTAGTCCTAGTAGTCATACTACATCCTGCAATTTGAACATGAAGGGAGTGAGGAAATTGGCGCATCCTCTAATGTTGAAACATCTGGCATATGAACTGGTGAATACGCATAAATTATTTCATCCTGGGTGGTCTCTCGTCTATTTAAAAAAAAGGAAAATTGTGGACTTTTTCAAAGGATAAATATCCACGTTTTGCCAATGTTGGCAGGTGGATCGAACGCATTTCTGGGTAGCAATTATGGCGTCCGTCATCCTTCACTTTAAAATACGATCTGTGCTGACAGATTTGATGGTTGTGATGAAAGTGGGTGAGAAGTATGGCAGCCAAAGCTTGGAGCAGGTGGAAAATAGGTTTTAAAAAAATCGTGGTACGTTTGCCGCATCCTCGCAGAAAAAAAAAAAAAAAAAACTGGAAGCTCGAGAGAACATTTTTAATTACTTTCCCAAGCTCCCAATCCCAATGGGTTTCCCCTTGGGCATTTCAGGTAACGCTTTTCCTGGTTCATCTTTTGCATATCCGGGCATTGAGCTGATCCGACGAAGTTACTGTAGTTCGCTCAAACTCATCTCCTGGTTAGTTTTTTTTTGCATGTCCAATCACTCTTCCTTTTCGTATTTACTCAATCACAAATGTTGGCAATCACATTCTGTGTACGTCGAATGTTTTCTGGATGATGCGAGAAAGACATTAATCTGAGTAGCTGCCAATGAATGCGATTCCAGCCGAAGTTTTTCTCGGTATCGGAAACCAGTGTGATACGATGCTAAAACTTTTTCTGCTACGATTGTCCAAAGATACTGTACATTGTCATTTTTTCCCTACTCAAATTTATCAAGTTAACAGATCAGCATGTTCATGTGGGCGATGCGGAGTAATTTACAGCGGGGCCCCGTGATGCGGACGTAATCTGGCGCTTGGATCTAGTCATTTTGTAAGATCGTCAATGAGTGGGATCTCATTTTTCTTTTGAATTCAGTGGGATCATATTTAACTGATTCTTCTATACTGTACATCCAATGTTGAGGAAATATGTCCCAAAATATAATGAAAATGTTTTCCCGACTTGCTGGAGAAGCAGAAACAACTGTGCAGAAGGAAACCGCACATAATCTTATATTTTGTTATTACAGTAGAAGAATATGAAGAAGCAGAGAGCAAGTCTTGCTATACTGTGCACACATAATGGAAATAACTCAGAAAGGGCAAAAAAATTGGCGTGTTCCTTCATTATGAATTAGACAAGTATAGTACCATAATTTTATATTCCATTTTCAATTTTGTGAATATGAATACTGTATATGCATTCAATATATTTAATCAGTAGAATCTTGTTAAAACTGACTCCCGGGGACCAGAATTTTTTTGTTACTGGAACGTTAGTTCTATCGAGATTGATGTATTTGTATAAAAAAACGTAAATGTCTTTACGAGCATTTTATTACTTGAAATAAACTGCCTCGAAGAATTTGAGCCTTTTCCTTGAAGTAAACTCTTGTCTTTTTCTCGATTTTTGTTTATCTGTAAGAATAAAAGGTATACATGAAATTTCTAGATTTGACGATAACTCTAGAAATGAAAATAAAAATCAACACAGAAGAACATAAGAAAAAGTAAGCATTTTAACATGTCGATGGCTACTGGATTTTTGAGCTCTAAGTTAGTGCTATCACTGTGATTCCAGACTCCTGAGACATAAATTGGAGAATAACTTAACCGGGAAGCATGATTTTATGGGCCAGTCAGTAACTCAGTATATGGATTTCCAGTCAATATACAGACTAGAGGACGAATGAAAAGAGAAAAGAAAACAACGCATGTCACTCAGCACATTTTCTCTTGTTAACGAGGGATCAGCGGTGTCGCTAAAACGATTACTCAATCAAAATGCTTTAAATGTTTTTTTTTCGAAAACACTGTGTTTGTGTATCAATCACTATCACCCTCAGCAATGGCACCGTTTTTTTTTTTTTTTTTTTTTTTTTTGACTTCGAAATTCATTCAACTGACTTATTTTGTGGAGGTTTTTGTTGGCCATGATATATTGAACTGCTAGCACTACTCAAGAATAAAGATGCCTCGTTACAAATTCTGAAATTTTTTTAAATTTTGGCAGCTTGATGACAGCTATGAAATTATTGGTCTTGATTTCAATGATTCTGCAAGCTCATCAACAAGAAGAAATAAATAAATGTCCTCGAAATTTTTGTCTGTGTAATGCAGTTAACGTGCAGATAACACAACGGGTTTTCATTTTTGTTTTGCTTCTCGACATGATACGAATTGCGTGCATTGCATTGTATATTCATTAAGATAATGGTTTGGTCGTGTAATGCGAACATAACAGGGACATGATGCCCGAAGTTCGTGCAATATTTTCCGACAATATTTGGCGAATGAGTGCGTGTTGCAAAACTGGTGCAGTAAAAGCATCGTCGCGAATGCCGAGGCACTACTTAATCGAGTACTGTCACCGAAGAAAATAATTCTATAAACTCTTCATTTCACAAATTATAGTACTATTTTCGCAGTACTGCGTCATTTCCATGTTGTTGATGAAATATTATACTAGGCTTGGTCGACAGAAACTAGCTTTCTACATCATGACGGGAGTGGTTATAGACTCCAAATCTTGATCCCATTGGTTGAACCTCACGAATGCGGAAATGTATCGAATCTAGCACGTGTAATGATTCTGCACTTCCGTGATTCCTGTTCCAATGCCCAGATGGTATCGGAGGAAATGCTTTATTACTGTTCTAAAACTTATTTGATTTGTGTAGAGGGGAAATTCAGAGACACGAGACGGTGTCCCCCCCCCCCCCAAAAAAAAAGAAATTCCGAGTAATTTAAATCAAAAACTCACCCGGAAGGAAGTCTTGTGTCCGTAACCCCGTATGACATTTGTGCCAGTTGAGCGTGGCTTTGAGTGATATTCAAGCTTATGGCAGCCTTGTCGATTTTTTAATTTCCTAAAAGTGACGCAACAGTTGAGATATATAAGAGATATGCGGGAAAAAACTTCACTGAGTATATTTTTGAGGTTGACGAAGAACGTATATTTGGAATTTATTGAACTTACGTCAAATTTTCAGCGCAGCAATAGCTTTAATTACAAAAATATTAGAGGCGATACGATTGTATTTGATGGGGATATTTTCTGGTACTTTTCAGTAAGGTCTTGGCTAAATGATTGCGCTAATTTTTTTGGAATTGATGAAACGCCGTTGGATTAATTTCAAAAAGTGTCAAACCTAATGAACCAAACCTTGTGCATAGCAGTGAACTTCAATATATGGCTTTTTTTTCGATTTTGTGCAGAACGGTTCCTGAGTATTAAGCCGTTTCTTTTAGATTTTTTGAGTCACTTTTAATGTTACCGAGTAAAAATGATTTCTACATGTTTTGAATAAGGAAAAAGTAACGCTTTTAACAAAAATTCTAGCCGTATAACACTGCTGAGGAACTTATTGTTAGAAAATACCCCACTTTATGTGGAATTTCGCCAACGTTTCTTGTATTCTTTCGACTTTTGAGTGAGTTTTGGCGTCTCTTACATCGGAGAACGTGTGAAAGCATTCGGAAATACACTACTCTGCTATCATTTTTAAATTCATCATATTCGAGTATGAGCCAGTAAAGCTACAGCACTGATATCGAATTACACGTTCAATCAATCTTCTGAGCCTTCTCCCTATACTTGTATCAATATCCCAGAAATTTTCCACGTGTTTCGAAAATTTTCAAGCTCTTTACGGCGGCACTATTGGATATAATCGTAGGTTTCTTTCCTTCAATTATTCCTTGATGATGAAAGCGTATCACGCCTAGGTTGTGAAAATGCGGTATACAAGAAAGTGAGATTGATGCGTGTCCCTCCATGTCCAACGCTGGAAACTAACCCTGGAAAATGTGGGGAAATGCATCTGATTTTTCACGGGGAAACATTCATTAAAACTACCTGAGCTGAAATAAAGTGTGTTTTACACTGTATACGGGATACTAACAGCACTGCCATGCTCGTGACGAAGGTGTGATTAGACAAAGTTCATTCATGGATGAAATGTCCCTGCTTCTATTCACTTCAATCACAGTGGGACCCCGAGATGGGGACGTAACTGGTGCTTGAACCTTGTCCCTATGTCGGGTCACGTTTTCCCATAGACTTATTTTTAAATACACATATTGTACAGTATTTGGTTCTGCTGTTCATCAAAAGTTACGAATACAATATAGACTATGGAGTCTCCCAAAAAATTACAAAGTGTATCTAAAATTTGTGTAGATGTATTTGTTCAAGAGATGTCAAAATTTAACTATGATAATTTTTCTGGAAAATGTTTGCAAATTGTCCCTATCTTCCTGAGTCGAATTTTCCGTATGTCATCGGGGTATATAACTGACGAACGGCTTTTTGAAAACTGACGCACTATTCTCTGTAATTGGAAATGTACTGTACATGATTGCGAGCATCTCGTCATCGAAAGGCGGAAAGAAAATCACGCCGGATTATCATCAATTATTTTTATTTTTTATTTTCGTTTCACCTGCATTTTTCTTCAGGAGCTGAAGGAGCCAAAGGACATGCGTAGCCTGAAGAAGTACGCTTCCGTCGTGGAGAAGACCAACACTGCGTCCGAGTTCAGCTTCCCGCAAACGTGTGCGTTCCCGAGCCTGCCTGCGGCCTACACTGCCATCTCTGATGCTGCTGATCAGCGAGAACACTGCTCGTCGTCGGGCAGCGGGTGAGTTTCTTTCTTTCTTTCTTTTCCAATCAGTCATGTCTCTCTCTCTCTCTCTCTCTTTTTTATTCCTTACCTTTCGATTCTTCCTCATTTTCGAATGCTTTAAATCCAGTGTTCAAATAGTACTACCCTTTTCCAATGTACTGTACTGTACACTATAATGTGGACCCAATTGTGATGAGAAAGAATATCGTCCCAACGCTGCGTACGTTTCTTCGTGAACGCGTGAGTGATGTTCGCAGAAGATTTGCGAATCGTCTTGTTCATGTACTGTACTGTACTGTACTGTACTGTACTTGGGTATCGTCAGTGCGATTGAAAGAAGCATAGTCGACTTTTGCAGTTCCGTATCTCATGTTGAGTTGCTGTATCATCTGAAGCGTAAAAATTAATTCCAGTCTGTTTTCGAAGAGAGTAAGCGAACGTGTTTTTGCGATCACTTTCTTATTGTACTTGTAGTATCGAGAATCTTTTAGGAAGGACGGTTCTCTTATGTCTGAGAGAAGTCATGAAAATAATTGAAAAAAAATTGTAAAAATATTCAAGGGTGAACAGTTTCAAACCTTACGAGCTGCGAAGCTGAAAATGGTTGTTCAAATGCTTATGTCAAGATATAGAAAGTTCTTTGAGTAACTCTGCGTGGAATTTTCATGTCGGTTACGTTCACTATATAAGGCGATATTTAGAAAACACAGTATTCTTTTTCATATGCAGTAGATTTTATTTGCAAGTACATATCTTTCTCGCACGAAATATTCCGCAATACTGACGTAGGAAAAATGTTGCTGTCGGTTCAATTGAAAAAAAAAAGAGAAGAAAACCAGCAGTTCAGCAAAGAAAAGCAGGTTTTCAAGGATTCGCGACTATTTCCCTATTCCTCGAAAGTTGGCAGGTTTGAGACGCGATTTATGCCGATTTGGCGCAGTTTTGTGCATAATTACTGTATTATACTTGAATTAGATGGTGCTCCCAACCCTTCAAAATTCGAGTTCGAAGGCAGTGCAAACCACACACGAACATGAACAGAAATCTCTGAAATATTTAAGTTGCTTCCATACACGGTAACAATTGTGAAATCAATCGTAATCGACGATTTTAATCATGAGAATTTGAATGAAAAATAGAAACGTGTTATTGAAACGGGCAAATTCAGTGCATGCGTGAAATGAATCTTTTTGGAAAACCTGTATTGCAATCTTTGCCAATTTTTATGAAAAGCTCCACTGAACTTAAAGGTTCAGCGTCACACGCAGCAAGAATGCTTGCAGTATTTTCCGCAGTGCAATAATCTCTTGTCCTTTGCATACGCTGACAGTAGAGGTCACTATGCAGTAATTTCTGATTTTACAGTACTGTATATCTCATCTTCATATGTTCGTTATCGGGTGATTTTTTCACTGAAAAAAAAAGATTTATCACCGAGAAAATTTCGTTGGGGCCTTAATTAATTGGACTTGTGAAAAGCCGCTCACATTTTCTTCGGGGTTCGTTTCAACATGCAAATTTCGGCGATTTTACACTAAAAAAATCCTCTGATGACCTTTTATGGACGCGAAAACGGGATTGACTTTCTTGCAAGCTGCCGAAGAAAGCACACTAACAGCTTTTCAGACGTAGATTGAAGAATGTGGACGAATGAAGTCTCTTCGCTGTAGAAATCCCTTGAAAAATCGTTTTGCTGGATTGTAGCCTTCATTGTAGTGAACCTTTGCTTCCCAAAGTGTCCGTCACGTTTATTGCCAGGTTATCGGGATTCGGTATTTGCGGAGAAAGGCTTGGTATTTATTTATTTTTTTCATTTGACCTCGGTTGTGTTCCCATCAAGCGCAGAGCAGCGCAATTTCAGCACGTTTCCTCAATCTTTATTGCACTGTACTGTACTGTACTCGGAATCGGATCACCGATCGTGAAGACTCAATCCCTGATGCGGTGTCATAATCGCGTACCCGCCAAAATACCACCAATTGCCATCGGTCCGATCCTCCGTGATGTTCAACTTTGCTCCACTTCCCCCCCCCCCCTCTTTTTTTCTTCTTCTTCTTCTTCTTCAATCCCGACGAATGGAGATGAAAGGGCTGTACGGTTTTGGACGACCAGCGAGGAGGAGGAAGTTTTCGTGCGAGGCGACTGATGCCGAAGAAAGGCGGTCGTTGGGGTTGCCTGGTCATTTGTAATTGTAGAAGCAACGCATAATCACGAATTGTGAAATAAGGTCAAGTAGTCCGACTACATAATGCATGAGGTACCTTCCCTGACAAAGCAGTTCGTGCCCGTGGGATGAACGCCGACAAATGCATTTTTAGCCACATTTTTGACTGGGCCCATTAGTCTGTATTATTCCGCGAAACAAACTCGTGTCGTTTGCACGCGGCTCATTTGCGTCTCACCTCGAAAGATCTACCGAGAGCTCACGATTAAAAAATAAATAAAAATACATAAATGAAGAGTACAGTGCATTACAGTACTGTACAGTACTTCGTTTTGTACGAAATGTCCGAATTCCATCTCGCCGTGGGGAAATATTACGTAGATGTGCGAAGAAAGTCCTTCGTACAATAAATCCCATTCGAGCCGGATAATTGATCATTAGGCATTTCATCTTGCACATGTAAGAGTGGTACTGTATAACAAATGTTCTCGGAATAAAAATTGGAATGTCGTACAATTGAGCTGAAAAATATGTATTGGTCAGAAAAACACTGTGTTTGGCAATAATAGAGAAAATTCAGTCCAGTTCGAAATATTTTTTGCAAACTTTTCTGTTGTTGCATTAGTCACCGTGTGGCAGGTTTCAGCTGATCACTAGATGAGGCGCCCATCTCGCAGATTTTCTTTTTTTACATCCCCAGCTTCTCCTTCAGAATTCTTGAAATTGACATGGTATAAATTTGCTAATGTTTTCACAAAGAACTTATTATCAATTCCGCCCTTTTCATTAGCAGTCGCCATTTGGGATGAGGATGTGCCTGCCTGGAGGCTACCCTGGGAATTCGTGTGTTGTCGATTTGAAAAATTAGACGGAAAAGGTGGACTATCCAAAAATTCCAAAATTTAGACGCACCATCTTCTGAGTGTAAAGCAGAAAGCTGCCAGGGGGACTAAATAAAATAAAAAATGGCAAACGGGGCTGAATTATTCTTTGCCGCCAAAGAAAATTTGTTTTCTGAACAATACGTGTTTTTCTGCTAGATCATATACCGTTTCAATTTCTATCTCGAGAACTGTTGTTATATACCCCCAGTGTGAAGATGCATAAAATATAATCTCTAATAAATCATTCATTAGCCGTCACTTCGGGGGCATTCGGTCGGTCATTAGTCCGTCTAATGGGTGCAAGTACACTGTACATGCTGTACTGTACACTAGTTTTTAACGTAGAATAAACCCAACCAAAACCTGCATACAGGATTCATGTACAGTTTTGGTGCTTCCCCTTTTGAAATTCGCCCTGCTCCGAGACCTGATGTTCGTACTGCTGTACGTCTATGCTGCGTGATGGACAACGTCCCGCTGCAGATGATTGTAGCTTGGGGGGCTTTTCTCAGCGCGGTATGACATGTGTGTTTGTTTGTGTGTGGATAGCTTCTTTGTTTCTGTTTTGCCAACTATATACATTGCCTTGGTGCAACTATAGCCAAGATATACTGTGCAGGAGTGTGTGTGTGTGTGTGTCTCTCTCTCTATCTCTCTCTCTCGTTTCTGCCTCTTTCTTGCGACGACCTGCTGCTTGCTTTGTTTCTCCTCTGCCGACTCGTCGTCGGTAATTTCCCTGACCCCGTGACTCGGTGGCCCCGGGTTTCGCTCCGTTATGTGCACGGAGGGAGAAATCAGTTCATTGCGGAGGCGGGGCCGAGGACGCGTTCAGTATATATAAGAACTGTTGGAAGAGAGGAAAAAAAAGAAAAAGAAAAGAAAATGATCCCCGGTTCCCGGCCACGTTTTAATTTCGCGAGTCGCGGGTGTCTTGATGACTGTAATCGACCTTCGGATCCAGAAGAGGGGGGGGGGGAGGTTTGGTGGTGCTTTTTTACGTGTTTTATTGTTTTGCTCAATACAGCGTTGGATTGCTTGGAAAGGTGCATTATGACGTGGCTCTGCTTGCGCGGGTTGCGCATGAAAAACGACTATGATGAGTCAACTCCGTTGAGTTCAAATTCTTTGCGTCGATTTTTTTTTTTTTTCGGGGGATTTTGAGAAATAATATGCCGCTTGCGTGCGGATGACCAAGTTCGTTTCACGAAAAACTACTCTTTGCTAGGATACGAGTTTATTGTGATAGAAAAGGTACCGCCAAGTACCATACCGTCGACAGAGCACAACATTTTATTGCTGGAACGCTGGGAAATTGATTGATTCTTTTCTCTGGAAAGAGTTATGCACAGCAGTGCATTGCCTCAAATATTTCGATGACGTCCATCGTATATTTTTATAGTTCAACAAAACAGAAGTCTGTAGATTTACTCATTAGCAGTAAAATATGACCTTCGCGAGTATCAGGTCGATTTTTGGTGTGTGGATAATTCATACGAATGTTGCGAAATTTTACCGACAGGGGAAGGTCAGTCTTCCATAAAATACGATTGGTTTTGGTCAGCATCAGTTGATTTTTTTCCGCGGTGAGAGTGCATGCAATTTTTTGAAGGTTTGGGGATGACTAATTAGTTTAATAGCGTTGACGATACATTACTTACGTTCGACGGTTTAAAATTTGCAATACAGTGGGGCTCCGAGATGCGGACGTGATTGGTGCTTGAACCTTATTGTTAGAAAGTCCGCATGTCCGATCACGTTTTCCCTTGGCCTTCAGCTGGAATATTCAGTTATTCATTGGCTCTCCTGTTGATCGATCGAAAAGTTGAAAAGACTCTCCCAAAAAAATACCGAAAAATGATTTTTCTGAACTTTGCAGAAGTAAACGTTGACAAAACCTGATCTTTCCACATGAAACGAGCCCCCAAAATCACAAAAAAAGCGCAAGTTGTCTTATACTGTGCTCAAATGATGGACTCTGAAAGATAAGGACAAAATTATCCGTTTAATTTTAA